AACAATATGAATTAAGTAATAATTAATAATAGAGCAAAGTGCATGTACATGCATGCACCAATATATCGTACAAAACTATGATTGGAAAACAGATCATGAGTTCATCCACATTCGGCTATCGGGGGATGCGTGCAAGTTCTGAGTGTACGTGTCCCCCAAAAGCCGAAGGTAGCTGAACGCAAGCTACTCACACGCATTTGTAATTTAAGTAGTGTGTGTGTCAGCTCGCTGTGAGTAATCTAACAACACTGAATAAATTATCGTTAATTACTTAGCAGTAAACATTTCATTTTTTTCTTCGTCGATATGTTATTTCAATATTATATATTATTATTTGCCAATATATTGGCCGAGCCGCAAAAGTATTTGTTGTGGGCCGCATGCGGGCCGCTAGTTTGACATCCTTGCTGTAGAGGGAAAAAAAAAAACTTTTTTATCTCCAGAGCGCGAGACTGTTTGGAAATTCTAAAGGTATGCTTTTTTGCTGTTTAAATATTCAAATATTCTGCGAAATTGCTGTTAAATTGAATTTTATGTGCTTTAAGTGTGAAGATTATGATATTTAATAAATATAGGTAACACACAATATGTTAAAAAAAACACGCTTTTTTGTCTTTTTAGGCCCTCCTTTTTTTTGTGCAAGGTGTACATATGTTCTAAGTAAAATTTAAAAAATACTTTTATGACAAATTTTTCATAAAGTATGCTCTAATGCACCTTTATATTTAAAGCATGAAATCTCTGACAGAAGAAGGAATCATGAACAGAACAAATTAATTCATGAGAAATACCTTCAAAATGCAGTAATTCCATGTAAAATTTTAATATGAAATATTGGAGAAAAGTACAATTGTTTATACACAAACAGTCACCTCAAATATGTTATTCATGTACTATTGAATGGTAAACATAAGTTAAAAAATTAAACAGAACTTCAAAATTAAACTTCAAAAAATTTTTTTATTAATCAGTTGTTTACAAGCTCACCAGTAGTGGAGCAGTAAAGTGGCTGAAAAGTGAATACTTGTAGTTCGCTCAGGTTCAAACCCCAGTGAATAGTCTGGCTTCATGGGCATTTTCATAATTCTGCCATGTGCAATGTGGATATGAGCCAGATGCCCTGAGAAAGTCCTTGAGGAAGGTATCCCTTTCCTTATACAGATAGCTGTCATTGTGCTTCGGCATAATCCAGTAAACAAACCAAATCAAGCCAATCAAATCTCTGAGAATGGGCTGATTACGTGCGAATGTTTCCATCAGGAACATAAATACGAAGAAGTTTTTTTCTAAAGGTTACAACGAAAGCAAATAGTGTCTGTGTGCTTTGCCATAATCCAATCTGAGTTCTTATTTAATAATGAGTTGGAAAGTAACTTATTACAGAAAAAATAGCATTCCTTTTTTATAGATTTTTTTTTTTTTTTTTTTTTTTTTTTTAATTAATCAACTTATATGAATTCCCTTTATTTCTGGAGCAGTATAAGAGTTTTCGTAAAATAAAACTGGCTGAAATTTTGTGCAAAATAACTGATATTTCGATTCGGTTTAAGTGTTACATGAACCTTAGTAATGTCTAAATACTTTTGGATACATGTCATCGTAAAAACTTATATAAACAAAAATCAGTTTTGTTTACTTAAGAGTGAATGAAAATCACAGAAACTATAGATAATTTTCTCTCATTTATCTGTGCCTTCTCATTATTCATCTTTTCATTCTATCAAAAGGGAAATGGGAGCATGGATATTTGCATGATTTTTTTTTTTTTTTTACTTGATGGTCACAGTATATGAAATTGAGGGTCATAATGATAAATCAGTTCTCTAATCAAATTCATGCGAAAAATTTTGTTATGTTTTTTAACACTGCTTATTTAGTTTAGAATATATGTATTTAGCACTGTTAGGTAAAGTAGATGAATTTTTCATCTGCTTCAACATTCTCCTATCAAAAGTATTTTACTTTAAAAATATTAATACAGTCAAAAGTCGTTAATCCAGACTCACCAGGACTTTGGCGATTCCGGATTATAGATCATCAGTTTATGGTAAGATGGCATGCAGAAATTATAAAATTAAAAATATGAAACCGTTATGATCTAAAGGGTATCAAAATTTACAAAAAAAAAAAAAAAAAGCTTAATATTTATTTGTTTACTTTATTAAACATTTCTTTCAATGTAAGTTGTTTAAGTTGCTTCGTTTTATGTGATAATACTTTCTCTTTAATTCTATAAACAGACATAATTTCTTCTTCAGTTACAAAGTTCCGCTGTTAAAGTCCTATAATTGCTGTGTCGAGAATACCGACTAATTTGTCAATTGAAATTTTTTTCGTTTTCAATAACCTCTGTTACTTTCTTCGCTATCGGGAGCGAATTATAATTACGAGGAATTTGATTTAAATCATATCAAAGATGGAGTACATCGAGATGAAATACTACATTTAATAAGGAATTATAAGCCAAATAAAATAAAAACATCTGCCCTGAAGATAAGGATAATGCTGACAGATCAACTTCCAATTCATTGCTCGGCGCCGCAGCGTTAAAGATAAACAAAGGATATGCCTTTCCATTTTTTGTAGCATTTCCACTTTTTGTTTAATGAACTTCGAAATATACTTTCGCTTTGTAGATCATTTACATATTAATAAATATATGTGTCAGAAATTCTATTTGACATAATCGAAAGTTCAAGCTTACTTTTATAAAATTCCTCTAACAGTCTGCAAAAAATAATAAGCCGGATCCAATTCAAAGATTAAGAAACAACGCAATCTGCAACATTAACTGAAATAGATAATTAAATAAGCTCCGTCTGTTATATATACATTAAACGCGCACTCGTAAACGTATTTTGCACACGCACACAAGCATATTCTCAGCCGTAAAGGCCGTATGCGCATGCGTCAAAGCGACGCATGCACAGAAAGTTTGAAGCTTTGAGGTCCGGATTATAGATCATTCCGGATTATGGGTGTCCGAATTAAAGACTTTTGACTGTACTTTTTGTCAGTAATTAGTCAATTTAATTACAGTGGCTGAAAAATAGTAATTACATAATATAATATGTAAAAACTGTATTGCAAGTTAAAAAAAAATAATGTTGAAATCGGAGTTTTTTCTGAGGTAAAATAAATATTGGTAAATACAAAGTCCGAGATCCAGGCATCCAATATGTGGAATGATCTAAAATCTGGATCTCAAAACTGCCAACTTTTTTCTTCTTAAATGCTTTATGCATGCACATTTGGTATTTTTCCCCATAGGTAAAACAGGTGGAGAGTACCAATTCTTAATTTCCCTTCGGCACTAAGAATGAAGAAACGGTACTAAGAAGATTGATTTATTGAAGAAACAATAATTTAACATAAATTATTGTGATCAATAATTTGGCTCCGTAGCTGTGTATTTGCTTGGCATACATCTCAAACTCAAAACATTCTAGATAGAAACATTGTTGATTTTATACCCCTGACGCCAACCTGGTGAATCATTATTTATTATACCACCGCATGTTTATCAACACATGACAACTTGAGTAATGACTCATGCAGTGATGCCCAAACAATTTTTTTTTTTTTTTTTTTTTTTTCTTTTTTTTTTTTTTTTTTATAAGTAAATTTATATTAGTATAAAGAGTATGGTAACCTTTTATGTTGCCGTTATTATGCTTGGCAATGATTACAGATTTAGTGAAATGCGCTAAGAAATATTGACGAAAAAAAATTTAACAGCAATTTCATTCCATGTGCTAAAATTAGATTTTGTTAATGATAATTAGAGGGCGAATTACATTTAATTTGTTTCAATTAAGAATAACTGATTTGTTTTTCACATGAACCCAGAACCGGCGCCAGAGCTCGTAAAGCCGCACTGCCGGCGGAATTTAAAGAAGCACCGAGCAACAAAATTAGTGGATGAAAATATTTTTACAATTTAGGGAAAGCAGTGGAATCTAAAATTTAGAGGCGGCAAAAATTTAGAATTTAGGGAGGCAGTTGGTAGCTCCACAAAGACTGCATCAGGTGGTAAGATAGCTAGTGCCGGTCCTTCATAAGCCTTAAGTATATGTGTTAATTTACTTATTCAGGATTCAGATAAGCCTTAAGCATGTGCAGTAAATAGGTGTAAATATAATAAATAATTAAACTTATTCAATCAGGCTGAATTGCCTCAGTGCGCAATGGAAGCAAGACAAAACGGAACAACTTGTCTTTCGTTGCCAATCTCATGATACATATCCACCAATGTATAGCGAATTACAGGATCGTGAGAGGATGTGTCTCCAGATACTTAAAAAATGCTTGGCATAATTTATGGCCAGCCAGCATATTTCATGGTTAGGTTGATCAATATGACAGCCGCGAATGTGAAGGTTTTCGGATATCACAAATTCAAGATTAAATTTTCCAATTAATGGATTTTTTTTTAAGAAATGTGGAGAAGCTGTAGTAAATGAAGATGATATAACACAAGTTTTTATCATTGGCAATGACAATGCCTTAATTTATTAATCAATTAATGGACGGCGAAATATGTAGTATGGTTCTAGATCCAGAAAATACCACTACCGGTTGTGAAGAAAGTGACTGAGAGGTTACTGAAAATGAAAAAATTTCGTTTGACAAATTAGTCGGAATCCTCAACACAGCAATTACAGGACTTCAACAATGCAACTAAATAAGAAATTATGTCTGTCTACAGAATTAAAGAGAAAGTATTAGCACAAAAAACGAAGCAACTTAAAACAACTTGCATTGAAAGAAATGTTTAATAAGGTAAACAAATAAATATTAAGCTTTTTTTATAAATTTTGATACCCTTTAGATCATAAATACTTTATAATTTCTACATGCCATCTTACAAGCTTTAAACTGATGATCTAATCCCGAAAAAATACCAAATCCGGAATTGCTAAAGTCCCGATCTCGGACTTTGTACTGTATGTATTTTACCTTCTGTTACCAATGGTTAATGTTCCTAATCTTTATTTCAGTTCTCTTGTGATTCGTGATTTAACTCTTCGTAGTGCAGCAAGCTTTGGGTCCTTTCATCTACTTAGGCTTCTGTATGATGAATATATGTTTTTTGTTGTAGAGCATTGTATTGCAAAAGCTACAGGAACAACAAGTATAGCCGTTATGGGAGAAGTAAGTTTTAATTTTGTGCCCTTTTAAAGTAATTCTTGTGTAATATAACAGACCCAAAAAAAAAAAAAAAAAAAAAAAAACAGAAAGGAATTTTTTGCCTCTCTCTCTCTCTCTCTCTCTCTCTTTTTTTTTTTTTTTTTTTTTTTTTTTTAAGGGAGTTCTTTAAGCGCATATTTTTTTCATTTAGTATTTATGTTCTGGGGAACCAGAACAGCTGACAGAAATGCCTGAAGTGATGGAACGTACTACAAGAGACTTATATACGAATGCTGAATCCAAAGAAATGCAGCATAATGGATGTGCTGAGAAAGAAATAGAATCTAGTCAAGCATGTGAATTTGTTTTGCCAACATCACGTAACTGAGTTCTGTTTTTATGAAATATCACTGTAAAGCACATGAACATACATTTATAAGATATATGTGTATATAGTTTTTAACTATAAAAAGATATGTTTTTTATGGAAAATCTAGTGAAATATATTACAAATTTTGGTGATATATAAATTATGATTTGATTCTTTGACAGTTTAAAATTATGCATTGTAAAAATAGATTCACGAACATAGGCTGTTAGACTCTTCAGATATTTTAAACTTCAGTATTAAAACATTTTTTCTTACATGCACACCTTGTTGGAATTTTAAAAACTAGCTCAAAATACTTCTTTTTTAATTGTTGTATTTGTTGCCTTATGCATCCTATGAAAATTCTCAGAAACAAATTAAATTTCAAACAGTAATCATGTAATTTTCCTGTATTTCTTCTTAACACTATTTTGCTTATGTCTCTGATCACATCATAGTGTCTACACTTTAAGTATGATATAATGTTTTATCTTTGAAAGTCAAAAACAGTGATTCCCACCCATTTTTTATTTATGATATATTTAACTGTATCTCATGATCTTGGAACATGATGATTTAGATGTTGAATGGCTACTACTACAATTTCTATAAAAATACTCATTTATTCCATCCTTGCAATTTTTCACAGAGTTATCAAAATGTAGTCTTGAGGTTGACAGACCGATATGAGAATCATCTTACATTGATCTGTTTCTCTGTTTATATTTCCTTATTTTCAATGTAGAAAATGCTGATTAGAATCATTTTGCAAATATATCAGTTAATTTTCTTATATCAAATTGCTTCAGTGGTATTTTATATGTTCTTCCTAGATTGGCAGACTAAGATCATTTGTATCCCCAAAACAGAAACAAAAATACTTACTTTGTTACTAAAATTCATAATAAATTAAAACTTTTATTATTAATTTGTTTAGAAAGTATCTTTGATTTTACATAAGATAAATTGCAATTATTAAATTTATCATTAAATGAATAAAGTATACAAATTATTAAGCATTCTTTCATGTACTAGCCATTTGATATCACTCCATTTATCGATCATTGGAAGGAATATGCTATGTATCATTGCAGAGTTTGACAGTTTGTTGCTTCAGAATAAGTTGTATTAATGGTGTCAAGATAAACATATATTTAATTTTGTCAAAGACAAGCTTTCATCTGTCCGTAGTTGTCAGGCTGCATGGAATTCTATAGCAGTTATTGATTTCTTGGCTGTATTAGTTTTACAGACAAGTACAATTATACTAGTCTTGTTTATATTCATAGTCATATAGAACATAAGTCTCTGCAGTGTTTAAAGTTACAAATTAAGCAATGACAGAGAACTATTTACAAATTTCATAGCACAGGTTTTGTTCAAACAAAATGGGTTTATCATGAACAATCCAGTTTCATAAATATATTACACATTTATTTACACATTCAGAACTCTGGATTACATGCTGTATTGCAATTTTTATTAACTGAAGGTACTAACATTAAATAAAAAATAAATAAATAAATCTAATTAATGTGTAAGCTTAGAAATATTAACAGACATACTTTAAAATTTTTCTGTAAATAACAAATAACATAGCAGTAAGTAGAATCTGAATTAAACCTAGACCTCACTAGCAGTTTAGATCACTGAATATTGGTAGTTCATTCTGAATTCAATCCAAGGTAAAGAAGCTGTCTACATGGCTGTTTTCCCCATGTGCAATGTGAATACAAGCCAATTTCCCTCGGGAAGTCCTCTGCAAAAGCAGCTTTTCCCTTAGGCGGATAGCCCTCGTGCTTTGCCATATTCAAAGAAGTCAAGTTAGGCTCTCATGTTCCTAACCTGACTTACACTAAATGCATTTAGTGTCTGTGTCATAGGAATGACATATTAAGTTAACGGCTGATTGTATTATGATGAGTTGTTATGTTAAATATGATATAAAATAGATGCTGCAGTAATAAATGCAGTCTGAATGCAATTTATAACATAAAATGATGGATAATATTACAGTGCATATCAAAATTTATTCTTGTAAATTTATTGCAATATGCAAGGAAAAATAAACCACTTTTTGAACTGAGCAAAAAGTTACAAGTGGTACTTGACATGCAAACAGTCCTTATATATAGCAGTACTGCTTGTTGGTTCATCTTGGATTTATATGGTATTTTATACACTGTTGTCTGAATTAATAGATTCTGGGATCCAGGATATAATTTTGTATTATAAGCCACCAACAGTAAAGTAGTTATAAGTGAACAAATATTTCAGTACTTTAGCATATAACAGTTGATAGAATTGCTAATTTTTGCTAAGGGTTATTTGGTTGCCCATATTTTCTATATATTGCAGAGTGTGTATAAATTGCTGGCAACCATCTCCTTAAGATTGGAAAGAAGCCATGATATTTGAAAAAACATAATGTTTTGGAGTCCCCTTTCTGCCTCATTCACACCAGTCTGTAACTGAATCTAAATTTCTAAGAGAGAAACAGATCATGACCCATTAAATACTCCATCATAAAGGCACTAGCTCTTTATAGGATGAGGGTTACTTTTGGGAGAAGGTGGTATTTAGACAATTAGCATTGGCAGCATCTTTTACTTTCTCATTGCCAGTGATTTCTGTGTATGCAGGAACCCAAGTTAGGTTAAGTAATGGTATTTGTAACAATATGTATCTAAACTTTATAACCATCTGGCTTTTTTGTGTTGACCAGCCAGTGCTGTCAGACAAGAAGCAGAGTCTGTATAAATTGTAATGTTTGTCATATTCTGTGGCTACAATTAGAGCACATATGTTTGTCAATAATATGAGTTAATCTGTGCCAAATCTTTGCTTCTACTGATAGGTGATGCTGATCTTTCAAAGTGACAGAAGTCACAGCACATTCTAATTTTTGTTTTGGACCTATTTATGTATATTCTGGAGTTCTGCAACATATCTGTCATAATTAACATCATACAACGTTTTTGCCAGCAGTGATGTTTTTTGGTGCAGTCTAAAAGGTAAATGTACAATACCCTTTAATGTAGAGCATTTCTAAATGACAAAATGTATATTTAAATATAAATATTCTTGGATACACATCACAGAACTAGTGCACTGTGTTTATTTAATTGAATATATTGTTTGTTTAATTGAATAACTGTAGCTAGCATATCTTGACAGATCAGTTGGGAAACACTGTTTTATGTTATGATTGGAGTAATAAATACTGCACTGTATAAGGGTAAAAAATAGTTATTTCAAAACTTTGATACAAAACTATTGTATCTCCCCTGCCCCCTCCAAAAAACAAGGAGTAAAACAGGAATCTTATATCTCTCAGGTAAGGTATGGATAGCATAGTATTCTTTATTTGAATCTTAAAAAATATTCAGTATTAAGCATCATAATGTCTGATTTATATTATTACTTAAAAAAATTTGGTGACTGGATAATTATGCTACCATACTGTAGAAATTAAATTAAAAAATTGAATGTCTTTAATTTTAAAAAATGAACAAATAGGCAACTAAATCTATTGCTTCATTTGTACCTTTACTAAATTATGTAATTGAAAATACTTCTCATATTTTGTGAAATACTATCAAAATATATAACATATATAAATAAGTTATATTAGTTGCATTTGAGTTATTTTTTCCCATCCTGTTGAAATGTATTTTGTACCCTATCTCTTTGCATACCTTAATCTTCTTCATGTATGAAAATTAAAAAGTCAGTTTATTTAAATATTAGTTCATAGCTGAAGGAATATATTGTTTATAGTTAAAAATACTTGTAAATTAAAATCTAAATTAAGTGAGATCAACTGAATCTAGTCTGAAATCTACTTATTCTCCTGAACTGTGATTTTTCAACACAGTGATGCCAAATTATGTTTGTGATCACTCTGCTTTTAAGGGCAATATAGTAGTATTTAGATTTTATCTATGGTATACTTTTCAATTATTAGGTAACAATGTTCAGATTCTTAAAGTATGAATTCATTTTTTAAAATACCCATGTTTACATATGGTAAACACATTTTTTTATTAAAAAAAACAGAGCAAAAGTTATTTTACACTTCAGTCAAATGACAATATACTTGTATCTTATTAAAACTGTATGTTAGTTAATAATGAAACCTGCTCTATTAGTTTAACTTAATTTTCTAATATTCAAGGATATTTAATCTTGATTTGAAAAATATATAAACTCTGTTATATATATTTTCTTAAATATATTTGACTTATATGGAAAAAAATTACAATATTTAATTATGCACTTATGAATTAGATAACTTAATTGCTGATAGTAAGCTTTATTTTTAAACCAAATTGTATATAATTTGAAGAATAAACATAAATTTGATATCCGTTGCTTTAAACTGAAAAACTGAATTCATTCATAACATTCGGTTCTAAACTATATTTTTAGCAGCTGAACATAATTCTCAAACCAAAGTATCAGTACTTAAATTGTTAAAGTTAGCAAAGCAGCATCTTGTAGTTTTATTTCTTTATTGGAATTTTGATCATCATTTGATAAATATACAGACTGAGCAAAGTCTTTTTTTTTTCTTTTTTTTTTTTTTTTTTTTTTTTTTTTTTTTTTTTTTTTTTTTTTTCCTTTTCAGTTTTTTTTTTTTTTTTTTTTTTTTTTTTTTTTTTTTTTTTTTGTTTTTTTTTTTTTTTTTTTTTTTTTTTTTTTTTTTTTTTTTTGTTTTTTTTTTTTTTTTTTTTTTTTTTTTTTTTTTTTTTTTTTTTTTTTTTTTTTTTTTTTTTGTTTTTTTTTTTTTTTTTTTTTTTTTTTTTTTTTTTTTTTTTTTTTTTTTTTTTTTTTTTTTTTTTTTTTTTTTTTTTTTTTTTTTTTTTTTTTTTGTGTGTTTTTTTTTTTTTTTTTTTTTTTTTTTTTTTTTTTTTTTTTTTTTTTTTTTTGTTTTTTTTTTTTTTTTTTTTTTTTGTTTTTTTTTTTTTTTTTTTTTTTTTTTTTTGTTTTTTTTTTTTTTTTTTTTTTTTTTTTTTTTTTTTTTTTTTTTTTTTTTTCTTTTTTAGTGTTTTCTGGAATCGCTCTTTATTTGTTAATTCAGAAATTTTCAACAATGCCCACTTCCTTTATGAAAATTGTATTCAAAAGAATAAATAACACTTCAAAGCAAAAATAACAAGAAGGAATAAAAAACAAATTTCATTATAAGTACATATGGAAGTCAGCTAAATATAGTGTTATTCTAATTCTTATGCCCCCTTTTTTGTTTGTTCTTCAAAGTTCTGTGTTTCTGTTATGAAAATTTTG